CAGAAAACTTGCCTTTTTATCAGAAGAACGTAGTGATAGTATAATACAGGGGTCAGCAACCTGCAACTCCAGAGCTGCATGTGGCTCTTTCATCCCTCTGCTGCGGCTCCCCGTCACTCAAAATATGTGTCACAACCGCCAATGTGCGACACCCGCCAGCACACGATTTATTGAACTTTTTGAGCCCCAGTGGGCCAACCATGGATAAATCCAAGAAAGGAAACGTTTCAGAAGAAAACAGAACATTTAATGGTATGTGGGCAGATTCATTTTCTTTCACTGCTGACGAGACTGGTTTACCAGTATGCTTAATATGTGGTGAGAAACTGGCAAACAACAAAAAGTCGAATGTTGCAAGACATTTCCAGAATAAACACACAGGCTTTGCTGAAAAATATCTGGATGGAGATGAGAGAAAAAAAGCCATTTTAGAATTGATGTGGAAGGTTGATCTGACCGACAATCATTTCAAGAAGTGGATTAAGTCTGCAAATTCAGCTGCATATGCTGGTTTTGTGGCTGCTCAGGAAATAGTCAGGCATGGGAAGCTGTTCACAGATGGAGATTATATAAAAGAATCATTCATTGATTTCATAAATGCAGCACACTAGTTTTTTTTTATACATAGCATAAAGGTAAAAAATGATGTATGCAGTGTTATCTTCATTTTAGATGTCAGAAGCGTTTTGTGGCTCCTGGTGTTTTCTTTTCTGTGGGAAATGGGTCCGAATTGAGTGTTTAAGGTTGCCGACCCCTGGTATAGTACCTCATCTAAAAGGGATAAAACCTGCAACAGAACCGATGCTAAGAGGTTTTGCCTAAGATGCAACCAAGTTCTATTACAGCTATTTTCTTGCTTAACCTCCCCCTCCCCCATCCCCACCATTAACACATGCACAATTCTAGCAGCCCTTGGCCAGAGTGCATGGCTTTCTTCCCTCTTTCAGCTTTCTGACAGGAGGATGCCTATCGAACCTAGGTCCACAGGGCAAACCCATTTAACACTGTTGCAGCAATGTTGCTAGCTCCAACCTTTCCTGTAGCATGATGCCTCTACTCCAGGGGCTTATTTGGCTGTGCCAGTCACAGGCTAGTCTTGATGGATTCTAGTGCCTGGTTTATGGGCCGGTTGTGACCTTTGTAACACACAGCCTAGGCAGAGTGGTAGCTCTGCTCTTTGCTTGCGTGCATATACAGTATGAAGATTCTTACAATACTGCTAGTGGTCGTGCAAAGATGTGTGGCATTTTCTGTAAGGCCATGTTTTGTGCATGATGACACTACACCTCTAGCTATAGGGAATCTTCTCCACCTCCCCTGCTGTTGCTATACATGAAATGTAGCACCATGAGCTTTAATCATTACTCTTTCGCCACTCTGAGAATTATTTCTGCCATCTTGCCCCTGCAGTCACCTAAAGGCCAAGCCGAGTGTGTTAGTTATCAGGCTCAAGGGAACTCAGCCACATCTCTTCACACCTCTGCTTTCCTCATTTCTCCTGAAGCATCTTTTGCCTCATCAACACAATTCAGTTTAATAAATGCAATTTTAAAGTCACTGGGGATGCACTCTTTGAAACTCCTGCTTTCACTGAGCCTCAGGTGCTGCATCCAATGAATCAGTTAGAAATGCCAAATCCTTTTAGAATGTCAGGCACTGAATTTATATCCTACAGCAAATTTATGACAGAGTCAGGAGTGGGGCATGTTAATATTACTGAAGCATGCAGGTTCACTTCACTCATGAAACTCAACTGATGGCTGCTCTGAGCCTCCTATTAAATCAGTGGATAGTCCTAAGCTCGCACCTGGGAACTAGTACAGAGTTTATTTTCGGTTAGAGAAAACACTCCACAGTTGGAGATCAGTCTGAAGACTGGGTACATTAGGGAGGCAAACATTAAAGTGGTTTTACCAAGAATCTCCGGTGTTTGATATGTTCCTACTGTTAGAGAAATGGGGTTCTCTGTTACTCAGAATTAAGCAACTAACTGGTGGGTTGGGTTTGGAAAAAACCTCCCCAGTTTATGAAAATAAGCTCCAGTTCTTAGGAACCTGGATGGTGTAATACAGATTAAAATGAAATTAAAGAATGATTTTGATATTAACTTGCAGCCTAATACCAATTATTGCCTTCATGTCAGCAATATGTGGACAGCAAATGTGGAACACATCTAACAGTCTCTCTTACATGGTGGTTGGGAGAGTTTTTAAGGGATCATGAAATCACACATGGAGATGTTCTGAGGTCTAAAGTAAAGCTGGCGAGTATGTGCAATGTGAGCCTCCCAGAATTATTTCATTTCTACACTGCTAAGTAGCCAAAACTTTCTGTATAATTTGTAACAGTTCAAAACATATGCTGCGGCACTAAAAATCTGGAACTCCTTTCATTAGCCTTTTCTTTGTTAATGTTTTGGAAGCTAGTAAAGAATATGTTTTGGGTTTTTTTTAAAGGCCTAGAAGAGATTTTAATGTTGGTTAATTTCCCTTCCAATTTGCTAATTCTTGTGTCACTGAAAACTGTTTGTATTTCTTCTTGTATTTTTGCATTATTCAAACTTTAATTATTCTGACGGTTGTTTAAGCCTCTGGGTTAAGAATAAGTTCCATGCCTGAGATTGTCTTTAAGATGAATTTGTACGTAAGTTGGACCATGCATATAAAAAGCATATAAAACATTTATTTGGTAAGCTGTCTTGAGACATTTGTGAAAAGACGGAATAAAAAAGTTTTATTAAATTATTATTATTATTAAATTTAAGGAGCACTTCCACAGACACTAAACATCTTAAACACAATACAGCAGGGGTCCTCAAACTTTTTGAACAAGGGGCCAGTTGAAAGGTGCTGGGGAGAGGCACGGGCCGCCAAGGTGGTGCGGGTGGGGGGCGTGGGCCGGGATGTGCATGTACAGAGATCGTTTTCTCTGAGTGATCCAAAAGGCTTGCTCGCAAGGAGATCCTTTTCTCCAAGCTAATCCAAAATGATCTCTTTGTGAGCAAGTCGGTGCCTTGCCTCGCTGCGCATATGTGGCGAGTCCAAAACCTCTATGGCGGGCTGGATAAATGGGCATGGCGGGTTGGATTTGGCCCATGGGCCATAGTTTGAGGACCCATGCAATACAACATAATAATACAGTAATAATACAATAATAATAAAGTAACTACAGGTACCGAAGTGAGAGAATCTGATCGTTGAGCAACTATAACCCAATGTTTTCCCAATGACCGATGGCATCTCACCTGTCCTCGAATGCCTTATTATTTCCACTTTAGTTTTGATTGTGATTGTTTTTCTTTTCTTCAGTACATTGCATTGGCACTTGCATTGGTTTTACACAATTTCTGACTTTGCTGTTTGCTTTTTCCTTCCTCCTTCCCTTTCCCTCCTTCCTGACTTTCTTTTCCATTTGGCACCTGTGGGCACCTGCTTGTCACTCAAGGACAAGGTGGGACTTCTGGGTTTGCTCAGTCATAAATAGGGGTTGTTCTTAACTCAGATATTCATACCTGGGGGACTGGGTTTATAGTTTTTGGATACCTGAAGCAGTACACATTTTCTCTAAGGATAACTTTAACCATGAAATTTATGTAGCAAGTGATTTAACTTTTGACTGGCACCTTTGTTGGACATGCCCTCCTTTCCAGATACTGTTCACCAGTAGTAACTACTAGTAGTAACTAGTAACTTTTGTAGTTACTTTTAACTGGTGGCTAAGAGTTCAATCCTAAGGTTTAGACAAAAAAAGTCCTACAGTTCTCAGCATAGTTGGTGGAGGAATGCTGGAAGCGGTAGGGCTTTCCCCCCTATTTATAAGCAGGCACAAACCACACCCAATTTAACTTTTAATTCTGATTTTCCTTTTCCCTTTTACAAATGCAGTTTAAATAAAATCGAACATCTGATTGCATTTTTCATAAAAGCATCAACTATTATAATATGCCTGCAGTGTCTGTCATAAAGTATGTATGGGAACATTTTTTTAAAAAAATTAAACTCTGTAAATAGTTCATTTCTTTCATTTCACTTTATTTGTATGCTGCCCCATAGCCCATAGGGCTCTCTGGGCAGCTTACAATAGAACAAAACAAAAAACAAAACAAAAAAACATATTTCATAAAAATACAATTGTACATTAGAGCAATACAATCAATATTTAACTGTAAGCGATACAAAAATCAAACCTTAATACAATAATATAATATATAATACAATGAATAATATCAATAATAAGAAGATATAGTCATAATTTCCACCCAGAAGGAGTACCCAGTGCTGCGCGGTTACCTGCTCCTGGCTAGCTCCTTTGAAGCGTGATTTCTTACATACGTCACCAACAAGTAAATGTTTTGCGTTTTAAAAATTCAAGGTATCGTTTTTCACAGGAAATGAAACCTGAGGTACGAAGTTCAAGAAGCCCTGCTAACGCTACCTTGTGCGTACAGGTGAGGAGATCGGCTGTTCAGTCAAGGATACCCTAAACTTCGGCTTTCGCCACTGTTTTATATCGTCAGCTGGTACCTCCGGCTGGAAGAAAATTCTTCCCACCAAAAAAGAAAAGTTGTAAAGTAAACCCGTTATCCGAATTTGTTTATGTCTGTACATCTACAGCGTACCAGTTCATGTCGCGGTGTTTCTCCGTGCCCGTTTCGCCCCGCTGAATTAGTACTTTTGTTCTACGTAGCTTAAAAGGAAGAGAGCACTCGAACTGAATTTATCCATGAGCCAAGACCGCTTCTGGAAGGAGCGGAAAGCTTTTATATTTGGCGCTACTGGAGAGAAGGGCAGCGGGCAGACCCACGTGCACACTAACCACCGCTGCCTGACAGCCCCGCACTCTTCACAAGCCTCGCAAGCTATTTGGCCGCCTCCAGAGTGCGGGGAATGGGGAAAATGGCGCCGAACACACCGGAAGTCCCGTCTCCGGGCCGTGCCGAAGAGGAATCCTAGACGGTGCCTTTCCCTTTCGGGCATGCGCGTTTCCATCTTCTCAGTTGCGGGCATCTCTCCTGTCAGGCGACTGCGCTCGGCTCAGCTCCCCGCTGGTTATCAGAGTGCCGGTGAGGGGGATGCTCTTCCTGCGAGGAGGAGGGCTACCGCGGCCCCGAGTTCCATCATGGAGGTGGAAGAGGCCTTCCCTCTGGTGGGCGAGATGGGGCTCTTCCAGGTTTGGCTCTGTGTCTTGCTTGCTTCTCTGCTCCAGGTGAGGAAGGGCGGAGCAGAGCCGGGCGTCTTTCTCCGGGTGGGAGCGCTGGGGTTTGGTGGGAAGTAGAAGCTACTCACCCACCCAGGAAATAGTTTTTCCTAGCGCACCATGCTCTTAGGAAGCTCAGGACGACTGGGCTTCAGGGAAAGACTCTTTGTTCCTGAAGTGTCTGCAGTGGTGAGAAACGCCCGCCTACCTTTCCAGGTTAAGAACAGGTTGGCTACTTGCACACTGCTGAATGAAGGCGTGCCTCGCTCAAAAGAACGTTGAAAAAGGACGGAATTTTTTGTGCCTCATAACAAATAATTGCGAGAATTTAAATAGAAATGCAATACGATTCACCATGCTGTGGGAAGAGTGTTACCAAATAATCAATGTACTCAGTCTTCCGACCAAGCTTGCCCTTCTTGTGATTCTTTATCTTAGCTTCACATGAAATTTAAATCCCCCTTGTTCCTGTTTAGTCTCAGCTGCAGGAAGTAGGATCTCTTGTGGCTGCTCAGGAATCTGGCTGTCTGCACCAGTGGACTGAAATTATTTAATGTGTGCATGTATGAAGTATATTAAAATCTGTAACGTAGCTATATACAAGCATGTGTGCGTGCACACACACACAAATCTGAAATACCAAGTTACTATAGTGACTCATTGTTTTTACAATTACTGTGTATAATGCTAACATGGCCCACCAGTGCAATCCTATGAATCTTTAGACAGAGAGTGGGAGTTATTGGGCTTTTCGGTTGTCTAAACATGTTGTTGGTGTATTTTCTTTTCATTTGGTTTTCATGAACTACTGCATACTATGCTGATTAAAGCATACATTGAAAATGGTTCAACCATTGCACAGTATTAGTATGTTAAGCAATTTACTCAAGATACTTTGTAGTCCTGGACCAATTCTATTTTATCATTACCTGGAGTATTATCATTTTTTCTTCTCTAGCAAAGCAGTAAATAAAAACAAAATATACAGCTTGTACTCCTGTCCTCCAAGTGATAGAATGGGTTAATTCAACAGAGGTCTGAGGGGACTGAAAAACAGAGAAAGACACTTCTCCCTCCCTCTCCTAATGAGCTCCAGTAACCTTAAAGAGCATGCAAATTGCATTGCTATGCAGATTAGGGAGCAGGTGGAGTGAGTCAAAGAAAAGAGCAGAAACATAACAATAGATGAAAGGGAAAAATGAACAGGAAATATCTGGTAGACTCCTCACTATCCTTCTAACTGCTTTCACCAGTGTGAAACACTAGCTATGGCCAAGGCAAATTGACAAAGGGGAAAAGCACACCCTCCTACACAGAACTTCATAGATGTGCAGAATATAGCAGCCAGCATCTTGGGTTTTGTTTTTTGTTTTAATGGGGGATTGAGACACTGAATGTTAAAGCAGAGAAAACATTAGAAAGGTGGACTGTCTGTTATAAATTAGGATAGCTGACCAAGTTTTCCAAGAGCTATACTAGATCAGGCAAAGGGTTAATCTAGTCTAGCATGGTGTTCATACTCTGGCTATCCAGTTAGCTTGTGGGAAACACAGAAGGAGAAAAGGAGTGCAGTAGCGCACTCCTACTGCAGCTGGTATACAGAGCCATAGTACTTTCAATACTGGAGGAAATAATGTAGTCATAATACCCAATTTCCTTTTCAAACCATTCAGGCTGATGATCATCTTGCAGCAATGAATTCCACATGAACTATCTGAAGAAATATGTCACTTATCTGCCCAGAATCATTCCCTGTTCTACTTCATGGGTTGGCTTCAGGATCTGGTATTATGAGAGAGGGAGCAAAGCAGAGCAGTTTTTCCTGTCCCTTTATGACTTTTGTTGCCCCTGTCTACACCTTTCTACAATGTCCTTTTTGAATTTTGGTGATCAGAAGTATGCATAGTATTTAAATGTAGTCATACCATAGGTTTGCGTAAGGTTAGTATGATACTGATAGTTTTATTATCGGTTCCTTTGCAAATTATACCCAAGACAGAATTTGCCTTTCTCACAGCCAGGTCAAACTCATTCACAGTGGTTGTTGATCAGATTTGCTTTTTTGGGCAGTCTATGGCATCTCGGTTCCCATCAGCTTATACATTGGGGGAGTGATGAGGTGGTCTCTCCATAGTGTCTGGGAAGGCTATAGGATGCTTCAGCTTCCCAGATCTTGGGGAATCTGCACTGGAATCCCCCTCCCTGCCCCAGAGAAGGCTCTGTTTTGGCTGCCTCTCTGAGGTCAAAAAAGCAACCTTGGAGAGTGGGTTAAGGGGGTTTTCCATGAGCAGAGAGGGGAGAAGACCAGAGCTGTCCACATTTTTATTAACAGTCTCAGAAGTCCTAAAAGTTTAGTGACACTTTGAAGAAGCCATAGCGATTTGTTTTTAGCAGGACTCCTGCTTAATAATTCTTTCTTTAATAATACTTCCCACCACTTTACCTGGAATAAACATTCACTCAACAGGAGTATAATTAACCAGCACTCCTGTTTATTTGTGTTAAAAATAATTGCTGTTATTTGCTGTTCTCCTGCCCTCTGTTACACAGGCTGATTGGCATTTTTTATGTCAGAAAAGCAGCAAACCCAACCCTTATTTTAAATAAGACTCCCCTCTTGAAGTCAGATATGACTGTGTTTGATTTCCTTGGTTATTTTCTACTTAAATATAAATTAGGTAATACTGAAACCACTGTTTCCAGCTGGATTCGACAGCACTTGGAACAAGGTCTTGGGCAGCAGCATTTACATTTAAAACTACAGTTGCCTCCCCTCTGTTGGATTACTGTTCTAGGGTACAGTAATTTAAGGCACAATCCAGTGGGGGGATACCCATAAACCACCAAACTTGGACATTTATGGCTATGTTGTGAGGGAAGTGGGGACTGCGTAAGCAATCATCACCTTCCTGCTCCTGCTACAGGTAGATAGTTGATTTTGACTGTCCAACTGTGTTCATAAGGGGAGGGAAAGAAACTGGAACAATGCCGGGATACATTGTATTGGACCCAGTCTCTTGCCCTTCACCAGGAACACTTTTTTTACCCCTTTCTAACATTGCTGTCATGATCTAAGGGAAGTGTATCTGCTGTGTTGGTGCTTGGCTGCAACAATGGACTACATTAGTTCTAATAAACTGAAGTATGATCTAGATGTAATCATGTGCAATGTAGGCCTCTGGTGGAATGCCAGCAGCTTAACTCTGTTTGATCTTGATGAACCACTGTGGTGATATCCTGATGGGATTGTGGGGAGAGGTTCAGAGAGAGAGAGAGAGAGAGCAATTTTTAAAGGAAGAAAATATAAAGCAATAAGGACAGAAAAGTGAGGCCCCAAGAAGCCTCGGGGTGATGCAAAAGAGACAGGAAATAGAGCAATAGCTGCAGCATTTTGCTATTTAGGCAGTTACTACTCAGTAGAGGCACCACCAGCAACTATCCGCTACTGAAGCTGTCTCAAGGCCTGGACTGCACAGCTCAATAATGCATTATCTTTGAACCCTCTTTGTTCCAGTTGTTTGATTTAGAGACTGTCTTCAAATCATTTTGTGATTTGAACTTTAATTTTGCTTCATTTCAGTCTTCCTTGTTAAATAAATTCCAATTCTTGCTATATAAGTTACTTATTTGTTTCCTTACCCCTTTTCAGGAAATAGGGGTCCTGGTGAGCTGAAGGCATCAGATGCTTTTTAGGGTCAGCTTTCTTCTACTTCATTCATCCCACTACTGAATTAACCCAGGCCCTATGCTTTCCACTATCTTGCAGTTGCTGGTAGGAAAAACAGGGTTACGCAGCAAAGACTGATGAGTGGTTCTTCTGGCAGGATCAAGGATGTTCAGTATGGGGTTGCGTTTCCCCTAAAATAGTAGGTTTGTAGCTTGGGGGTTCTCCTAGAGCCATCATTAATTCTTAAGGTTCAGGTGGCCTCTGTGGCATAGAGTGCCTTCTACCAGCTGCAGCTAGTGGCCCAGTTACACTGTTGTGTGAACAGGGATAACCTCTGGGTGAAATTACTGCAACATGTTTAACATGGGTCTGTCTTTGAAGATAGTTAATGCAAGATTTGATGGTTAAGCTGTTAACAGAGATCAGAAGATCTGAGCATATACCACTGGTCTGGCCTGCTTGAGAAAAATAAGTTCAGGTATATTTAATGTTAAGTAAAACTAGGCAGAAAACATGTTTGTCTCTTTTATAGTGTGTTCTTACTGCTGAGGTGCAGTCTACCACCACTCCAGTTAAGACTGGACGTTCACTTCACTTTACTCCCTAAAAAGATTTGCTTTTAGAATATGTGAAATAATTATTCACTCTAAGAGGTCTCTTCCCCTGTGTTCCTTCATGAGACCCTAGTCTGGGCATTCCACTGATTGGATGGAGGCAAGTCCATATTAGTGACCACTGCTGAAGTACAATGCACAGCAAGTCATTCTGTAGTGTGATTTCTTTATTATAGTTCTACCCTGCTTATCAGCCCAAAGACTCCCTTGGTGGTTTGCAAATCCAAAGTACAATAATTAATATAAAACACATGATAAACTCACAAGAATGTAATTAATTAAAGAGAGTAAAACAATAATACAATAATCCACCTTCTGCCACCACAGCTAAAACAACTTCAGAGATACAGTAAAAATATACTAAAATATGAAGTGCTTTCTGGCATTTAAATTGAACCTTACTTCCCTGAGCTTTGCTCCATTGGAGCATATCCTGCCCTTCTCCACAGGAGAAAACAGGCCTTGACCCATTTCTCCATGACACCCCCTCACGTACCTATAAGTCACCAACATAACTCCTCTGAATCTTCTCTTCTCCAGGCTCAAAAGACCCAGTTCCCTCAGTCTTGCCTCATACGGCTTCCCCTGCAATCCAGCCACCATCCTTGTGGCCCTATGCTGTACCAATTCCTCCCTGGCTATATCCTTTCTGTAATGTGGAGCCCAGAACTGAACACAGTACTCCAATTGTAGGCACACCAGGGTTGTATAGAGTGGCAGTAATGATC